GGAGGAACCATGGATGGGGTTTAGACCAGGAACAAGAGGTGGAGGAGAAACAGTGGGGTGGTGTAGAGTCAGGAAGGAGGAGTAAGAGAATGGGGTAGGTGCTGTAAGAGGACAAGCATGTGAGGCAACTGTGATTCCACAGCCCCATGGGGGCATCATGGGTAGTCAGTGTTGGGGAAGTTCGGGTCCAGAGAGTAAAAATCCAGACCAAGGTTTTGTTTCAACCAGCAAGTTGAGTATAAAGAGTCACAGTCACAGATTCTGAACTGGCTGGTTGAAATAAAACCTTGGTCAGGATTTTTACTCTCTGGATCTGAACTGTTCACCTCTGTCTGTAACGGATTCCTTTTGTGAGTAGTTTTCGAAAAAGGTGGGAGGTGCTGCAGGCTCTTACCTGGGTGAGATGGGAGGTGCTGCAGGCTCTTACCTGGGCGAGATGGGAGGTGCTGCAGGCTCTCACCTGGGTGAGATGGGAGGTGCTGCAGGCTCTTACCTGAGCGAGATGGGAGGTGCTGCAGGCTCTCACCTGGGCGAGATGGGAGGTGCTGCAGGCTCTTACCTGGGCGAGATGGGAGGTGCTGCAGACTCTTACCTGGGCGAGATGGGAGGTGCTGCAGACTCTCACCTAGGGGGAGGTGGGAGGTTCTGCAGGCCCTCACCTGGGGGGAGATGGGAGATGTTGCAGACTCTTATCTGGGTGAGATGGGAGGTGCTGCAGACTCTCACCTAGGGGGAGGTGGGAGGTTCTGCAGGCCCTCACCTGGGGGAGATGGGAGATGCTGCAGACTCTTACCTGGGTGAGATGGGAGGTGCTGCAGACTCTTACCTGGGTGAGATGGGAGGTGCTGCAGACTCTCACCTAGGGGGAGGTGGGAGGTTCTGCAGGCCCTCACCTGGGGGAAGATGGGAGATGTTGCAGACTCTTACCTGGGCGAGATGGGAGGTGCTGCAGGCCCTCGCCTGGGGGAGGAGGGAGGTGCTGCAGACTCTTACCTGGGGGAGGTGGGAGGTGCTGCAGACTCTCACCTAGGGGGAGGTGGGAGGTTCTGCAGGCCCTCACCTGGGGGGAGATTGGAGATGTTGCAGACTCTTACCTGGGCGAGATGGGAGGTGCTGCAGGCCCTCGCCTGGGGGAGGTGGGAGGTGCTGCAGACTCTTACCTGGGGGAGGTGGGAGGTGCTGCAGGCTCTTACCTGGGGGAGATGGGAGGTGCTGCAGACTCTCACCTAGGGGGAGGTGCTGCAGGCTCTCACCTGGGGGAGATGGGAGGTGCTGCAGGCTCTTACCTGGGGGAGATGGGAGGTGCTGCAGACTCTCACCTGGGGGAGATGGGAGGTGCTGCAGACTCTCACCTGGGGGAGATGGGAGGTGCTGCAGACTCTCATCTGGGGGAGATGGGAGGTGCTGCAGACTCTCATCTGGGGGAGATGGGAGGTGCTGCAGACTCTCACCTAGGGGGAGATGGGAGGTGCTGCAGACTCTCACCTGGTGGGAGGTGCTCCAGGCACAGACTTAAATAAATGTATCTACAGTCGTCGATTTAATGCCAAAAACCAAATAAAACATTCACAAGTTTACTGATCCTTGGCAAATATTCACAATGTCACAGCCTACATAGTCTGAGTCCTCAGGTCCTCCCACAAGATCGATCACGGCGACGTCGTGGTTGTATCCTGTGAAGGAAAGACTGAGCTGGCAGTGCAGTAACCGTGACGACATGGACCTGGCCGGTGCCGCGAGCGTGTCTGTTTGTAAACAAATGAATTGTTAAAGCTGGTCGCTATCCAGAAAGACCTGGTGGGGCAGGAGGGAGATCTGACAGATGGTCCAAGCTGTGCTCCAGAGCGAGTGCTGGCAGTGTCTGCCCTCATGGCACGGGGGTGGAGACCAAGAACACAAGGGGTTTGTCCCTCAGGGCTCTGGTTCCTGGTGTCCATGTTTCTCGCCTTTGTCTGGGTGTTTTTTCCATTTCTAAATGCAATCAAGTGTGACACAAACGCTTTACCTTCGGCGCCTGGCCCAGACGCGCCGAGGGGCAGAGCAGCGCTGTAATCTGCGCTGATGCCTGCCAGCTCCGCTAGACCCTGCCAGCGGCCCCCCCCCCTCCCACGAAGGGGGGATGAAACGGGAACAAAAACGGCGGAGCAAGGCTGCTCGGCTCTCCTCGTCTCACTGGCCCCGCTAATTATTGTTTCGGAGAACAACGGTTCTGGGCTGGGTTTTAAGGCACAGGAATAAAACGAGGCAGGACCACCAGAGAAGGGGATCTGATGTGAGTCAGAGCATCTGTTTCTGAGGCCTTGCTGGTTGCAGATTGTGCAGCGCTGGATGATTATTTTAACAGGTCGTGTAACTCATGATACCCCATAGAAACATCACCGTGGAGGACATGCAGAGGAACTTTGTGGAGGAACTTTTTAAAATTATTTTGTGACATTTGTGTTTTGTCATATCTATATACTACCAGATAGTAGTACTGTACTTTCATACTGGTGGGAAATTTTTAGCAGATGTTCTTGGACAGACAAAGCCTGATACCGCCTGTTGGCTCAAGGTGGCGCTGTGGAGTCACCGTCAGCTTGGTCAACTGAAACTGGACCCAGCGCAATCCAGTTGCTGCGGCAGCTGCACCTCTCTGCATGCCAGCAGCTGCACACATGTCATTAGCAAAGAAAATAGCACCACCTGTTGGAGTTGCCCCCCCCCACAAGCTCCAATGACTGCTATTCATCCCCCTGGCACATGTCACCAGCTCCAGCTGAGGTTGACATGAGCTTTTGTCCCTGGCAGGGAGGGACGGTAGATTAAGGACACCTCTGGTCCTGCAAGCCAGCCTCAGGACTAAGGGAGACACCCACTCAGTGAGCAAACTGCACACCAACCTGACAGCAACATAACACCCATAAGCAGCCACTGCTAGCACTGATCACGTTCTTGACTGTCACTCTGTCTTGCTCTGGATTCTACAGGATAACCCCCACAGCAAAAGAAACCTGTCCCTGAATGATGACATCACCACACACCCAGAGATGCCAAAATACATCCTACAAGCAAGTTACTGTATTAAGCACTCAAAGAATTGTGCAGATGTTTCAGGAGTCCAACAGCAACATTGTGAAGTCACAGGGAATCTGAGGAGCTTGGCTGTTACCATGGAAACAACAGTGGTCACAGACACCCCTTTATGCACAGGGATGTGTTACAAGACAAACACCCCCTACGTATGGGCGATTTGGTAACTCCAATTAACCTCAGCATGTATTTTGGACTGTGGGGGAGGAACTGGAGAACCTAGAGGAAACACCATGATGATACAGGGAGAACATGCAAACTCTACAGAGGAGTGGAGACTTGAACCCTGGTCCCAACCTTGCTAACGGCCAGGTACCAGTGTAAGCAGTTACTGGACCAGAAGCTACACAACTACACTCGAATAACAAAGTAAGAACCTAATAAGACTTTGCAAGGAGTAGAAGTGCAACGTGAGAACATTCAGGGAATGTAATGAGGCATGAGGTTTGTGGTTGAGTTTATGGAGCAGATGGTTCTAGAGGTTTCTTGAAGGTGGAGAGGGAGTCTGATGGGCGGACGTGGTTCGGCAGCTCAGTCGGGGAACGGCACAAGAGAGCCGTGTTTTTATTTAAAAAGCACGTTCCTCGTAAGAACCTGGGTTGTGTTCAACATAAGGGAACGGGAAGCTAGCAAAGGTCTATAAAGCATTTAGTGGGTGCGTGTGCAGGTCTAGTCCCCTCAGTGTGTACTGAAGACATGGTGCGTGAAGGGGAGATTCAGGTGTGTGTGTGTGTGTGCGTGTGCGTGTGTGTGTGCGTGCTTGGATCGGAGGTAGTGCTTTGGCCGTGTGTCCATGCGGGTCTGGGTTGCTGTGCGTGTGTGTGTGTGTGTGTGTGTGTGTGTGTGACTCCCCTCCAGGCTATGAACACAGATGCCGTGGCGTGTAGGCGAGTGAGCTGCGTGTGTGTTTGTGCACGTGTGCCCACCCCCCCACCCCCCAGGCCACAAACACAGATGCTGCAGTGTGTTGACTCTGTGTAATTAGTTTGCTCTAATTTGGTTGGCTGTGTCAGGGGAGCCCCTTTTTAATTTCCCTCTCTGTTTACTGCTCTTTGCGGAGCGACAGAGGAGGGGGTACGGGGGTTGGGGGGGGGACACCCAAATTAAAAAGACTCCGTGCTGCCTGCTGTAAGCTCTGGCTGCCCCTTCGAGCCTGCCGGTCTCCCTCACAGGCTGCACCTGCTCCCTCCCCAGGGAAGACCGCTCCTGATCCGTGCCCCAATCGCCCCCTCCCAGCCATGCCCCCCCCCCAGCCACTGCCCCCCAGCTGCCAGCTTGGTGGAGGTCTAATCATCCTGCTACTACAGCTGGATGGATGCCAATCATCAGCATGGAGTGAAGCACACAGAGGCAGATGCAGGCACACACACACACACACACACACACACACACACGTTTGTACTCATATCTTTGTGGGGACTGTCCATTCATTTCTACCCAAGTAACCAGATAAAATACGAGTCTTCTGACATGTTTCAGGAATGCTTGTAATGTGTTCCGAGGATGTAGCAGACATGCAGGGGCACAAGTAGGGGCTGGAATGTCTAGCTACACCCCCTTCTGTTGTGTCGCCTCTTAACCACAGCTCACACACCACTGCATACCTACAGTGAGTTAGGTTGGGGGTGGCCCGCAGACTCCACCAGAGATCATGTGACTCTCCGCCATGTCAAAGGATTTACATGCATCACGTTTGGAAAGAAAGGAAGGATGACCAGCGGGGGGGGGGGTCGGATGTGCGTGGTCAAGCCGCAGCCGCGCCTGAGGGAGGGGCAGTGACACTCGGTGACAGTATCGTCCCACTTTGCCCAGACTTGTCCCTGTAATGCACAGTTACCATGCTATAGCTGCGTTAGCACTCAGCCAGAGAGTCACCCCCACCCAGGTCACAGGGGCCCCCCCGGACACACTCACTATGAAGCATTACATTTCACCATAACCACTATTTATTTATAATCATTTATTTTCCATCATACCAGTGCCTAGCAACCTTCTTGCCTCACGCACCACCTGAGCAAATACCAAGCTCTCTGCGTACCAACGTTATGATCGGCGTTAAAATGGAGATACCACTAGAGGGAGCTCACGGCCCATGCTCTGAGAACTACTGTACTGCATTACACTGAATGTGAGTCACACTCTGCTCAGAGAGCCCTCTGTAGGGTATCCCCTGAAATACCCTTGTCAGCTTCTGACCCTGATACTGGCAGGACTCCCAGCTGCAGAGGTAATCCTCCTGATTTGTGGAATCTCAGAGGCCTCTTCAGGTGTTTCCACTGGGCAACGTGCCCCGCACCCCGGTGACTGGACTAGCACTTAAACAGCTCCTGGTCAGACTCCTCCGTCTCCATGTCGGAGTTAAAGAGTGACTCGTCTGTGGTGGCCTCCATGTCAGTCAGGCAGGAGGAGGCCAGGCTGCTCCCAGTGATCTCCTCCTCGAAGGAGTCCGTCCGGGGGGCCGGCAGCCGAGATGGGGAGCCGCCGTCCTCGCTGGACTCACTGGAGCCGTCATACTGGAAGTCATAGCAGTCCACGAACCACTCGGGCCAGAACTTGCGCCGTATCCTCTCACAGAACATGGCCAGGTTTATCAGCTCACCTAGGGACAGGCAAACACCGGCGTTAGCTTCAGCTGTTATCCATTTTAGCGAAAACCCCGAGGCAGTAAATCTGCTCTGACAGGGTAAAACCGATCCATTCCCCTCATTAGGAGTTTAAACAGCATTCAGGTACAACACAGAGACCAGCCTCAGAACATGGGTCACAGGAGCAGCAAGCCCCGCGTTTGTCTTTAACAATGACGTTGTTAACAAAGCCTGATATCAGAAGACAGCGAACTGGGATCTCCATCCATTTTCTAATGCACAGTGCCAGGTAAAGTCTGCACATTTGTGTCTGTTTTAGCTGTTATTTACCTTACAGTAAATGGCCTCGAGGCAATGAAGTAATACATATTAAATACTGAAAAAGTGTTCAACATCTCAAAATTTTTTTGATTTTAGACTCTTCAAAACTTTTGATTAGTATAGTCGACACCCCCACATCACAGGGGTTAGGGGTGCAGGGCCTCCACGATAAGAAACTCCCAAAAACTCCCAAAAAAAAAAAATCCCATTTAATTTCTTACGCGATATATCGAAACCGCAATGGGGAAAGTCGCAATGCAGAAGGAGTGACTTAATTTTATAAGTTTTATTTATCTTTCTGGAGTCCTAATTGGCTGCTGTGTCACATGATAATTTGTCATGCTCATGAAGTCATGGAAAATGATTCAGCTGACAACCTCATTTTAAAATGGTGGAATTATTTATGTACCAAAAATGGTTTACCATATATATATATATTGATTCCATAAGGAATGTAAGACAACGTTGTGTTTGAGTATCGTGTGAATGGTTTTCTAACCTTGGGACCAAAGACGTGAACAGTCGTCCGGCACCATCTAGTGGCCACGTGTTTGAACTGCATTTCTAAACCATTTTGAAGAAAGAGCACAGATTGAGAATCTGCTGCACTTAAATTAGCCTCCTTCGGGACAAGAACATGTGTGGAGAAGTTATGTTTGTAAATAAAGTCATAATAATATTATAAATAATAAAATGAGGTTACAAGCTATCATGGCAACCTTCTGTTTAGCCTATTCTAGAATAAATCCATATAGGCTACCCTGAAATAGAGTCTGTACAATGGAAAGTGAGTTTTCACTAGTGTGTTCCAACGCTGATACCATCTCTGAGCTGCAGGTTCACACTTGCTATGAGATGTGGATGGTAAACAGGAAGTGATGCAAAGTCACCTGACCTTTGAGAAGCTGTTCCGGCCGGGTGCCCGGCAGCGCCCACATAGCCTGGGCCAGGTGTCCGAAGACTGTGGCGTCCACTGATGACAGCTTTGGCCCCATGAAGTATTTCTTATCACCTACAGCAAAAACAACATCCAGCAGGGTTACCAAAAAAATCTCATGTTCAGGGGTGAACATGACCCCTCCCCCCATGCCACACCCCTGAACATGACCCCTCCCCCCATGCCACACCCCTGAACATGAACCCTCCCCCCCTGCCCCCCCCCCCAAAATGAACCCCCCCCTCCTTCCCCACCCCC